TGGTGTCAAATTTGTATATGTTTAAAACGTGAATGAAATACAAGATTTTTGGTAAGATTTATTGCGCTAGTTATCACATTTGATTGAAATGTGAGTGGATTTTAAATTGTAATCCAATAATTACAATTTTAACAATATAAGTTGTGCACAAAAACGACCGGCAGCTACATATTCAACAATTGTGATAGAAAGAGCAATGCTACACAACTCCTTCCTATGCTAAAAAAGTAAACATTTTTTAAATAAATGATAGGTACCACTAGTAATTTTTTTTATCCGACTAACAAAATCAGAATCGAAAAAACTTACTAAATTACACTCATTATCTTTAAAAAACTAAAGACACTCAAAACTATTTTTAAAATCTTAAAGTGGAATTCACAACGCGACACAAAACCAACCTAATCTAAACAATATTCAAAGTTCAGTAAATGAGAATACAATAAGCACAAATGATAATCAAAAGACAACAATAATTTCAGTAATTTCTTTCAAACATTATACAAAGTTTTATCAACTGTAAAATATAAACAAGTCTGTGTGGTACAAGGACATTATGTCATTAAGTTATATACGTGCAACTCTTGTCCAAAATAAACAAAATTCAGAAGCAGATTAACTACTTACAGAGTTACTGTTACATATTTGAAGTCTGCTCTATGATTATATCAGCCACCACCAGAATCTCTATGTTCCGCAGGTGGACGTTTCAATCGCTCAAATATATCATCAAGAGACTCGAATGAAGATTGCGAGTTTAGATAGGATGTCTGTGTACTATTAGTAAGAGGAAGAAATCTCTTGGAGTCAATGTTAGATTTCAAACTTTTAATTCCATTCATCATTGATTCCCATTTTGTGGCTACCACAGACGATGGCGCCGCTGAACTAACGTCTTGAAGAGAATCATTAGCATCATTTGTCAAAGGGGAAGGTTCTCTTTCCGCTGCGAAATCTTTACTCGACCCTTCTTCCTTTGGGTTTGTCCTTAAAGCTGAATACTTTTTGCCACCAGTTCTTTTGCTTATGTCACTATGATTTTCTTCATTTGTTGTCTCTACTATGATGTTCGTTTTATCTTCGCCCGAGGTACTCTCATCCAGAGCCGCCTGCGAACGTATCATAAAACTTGACTTGAGACTGTTAAATCTGAAAGAGAAAAATGAAGAAAAAAACAGTGGTTTTCAATGTGTACCTTGGTTCTATTGACAGACTCAACATCCACATTTATGCTGAAACTTCTAGCTAAAGGGAAAACAAGTTCGCCAACATTGTGTCCTTGCTGAAGAAGATATCGCTCTGAGGATAAAAGAGAAGGTATTTAAACGTATTCGCGACTAAAATGGGAGAGAGAATTTGGTAATAAAAAGACTTGAGCATACCTTTCTGCAAGATTATTACTCCGGACGGGTCGAATCCGTCCATATCTTCTGCATCCTCATTATTAACCTTGAATATTCTCCAATTCCCGCAATAGTTGATAATTCGGTTAAAGAAATTGCCCGCTATTAACGAAGTGTATATAACCATGATAAGCGGGTAAATTTTGTTGAATCCTTTGCCAAAAAAAGGAACAGCATCATCAATGTTTCCCATTTTCTGCACAAAGTATTTGTATTACAAACTAGAGAAAAAACAACAATGTTTGTAGCATAATAAATGAAGCTGGAAAGAAAACAGTAGAATACTTTTTCGAAAATGGTTTTTCTACCCCCGCCGATATTGATGAGATTGAGAAAGTTGTATGAAATTGGTGCAGCATATCTTGCCACCATCCTACGAGATATAGGGAAGAAATTTAGTATACGACAATACGCACAAATGACTAAAAAGATACATACATGTACATTAAAACGGTGAAAAACTTACGAGCATATCATAAGCAAGCTTACAGAGCTTGTTTGTCTCGGTGTCAACGAGTAAACCATCAACATTCCGATTTTGAACAACGAATAATATGTACAAACACACATATACATCAAAGGGACAAAAGCAGCCAACTGTGAACAGAAGAATCAAACTATCAGAAAACGAAGAGATTGAAGAAAAACGCGTAGCCTTAACAGAAAGGTCTACAAATATCACCTGCACAAGCACTTCTTTCTGTCCTGCAGCATGTACTAGGATAGAGAAAAGAGATAAGTCAACTCCACTGGGAAGCATGGTAGCCTCGGCTAATAGAATGGCGAACGACATGAAGCCTAATATAACAGCCAATGATTTCTCAACTTGTTTCTTTAATATACACCGCCATAGAAACTCTGCGATAAATCAACATATTTCAGCTATATAAAATTGTTCTCTTTAGTAAAAAAATTTAGGGTGAACAAATATAGGGTGAGTACCAATTGTATCCAAAACTGCACCTACTTTGCCTTTTCGTTCAGGTCTCAAGCATGAAGTATATTTCCTGCAAGATTGGAATAAAACATGTTTAAATAATGACATAGCAGCACTATTACTTCATAGATATAACACTTGAGCAATGATGAGAAGATAAACAATGAGAAAAGGAAATGTAGGTTAGGATCAAACCATCTTGTAGCATCACGACTGTCATAGTTTTTTACGGTATCCTCCAGCTCAAGGGCTTCTAGGACAGATTTGGTATATTCACTGTAAATAATATTAATACCAATGTTAATCATAATACTTAAAGAAAATATGTTTATTACTCGAAGAGAATTTGTATATACACACAAAAAAACAAGAGTGGTTCTGAAGTATTATGGTATGTTTCAATACAATGGCATGTGAGAACTCAGAACTGAGTATGAACTTTTATAGCAAAATAGATCAGTGTCTACCTTCTATATCGATAATACTGCACACGAGCTCTTCTAAGACGACGTCTTAGTGCTGCCATTGATTTCTCATCTGTATCATAATCCATGTCTTTTTCTCCTAGTGTCCCTCCCTGTGGTTTGAAGGAAGGATCTTCTTTCAACTTGAAAAACAAAAATCCAATGTTACATAAACACCTAGCCATACAACATTTAGAGTTTATAAATACCTGAAAATACTATGAACTCAAACTTTACCATCTGAAGCATCATTTTGTCGATTATACTCATGTAGGGTCTCAAAGAATCCCGCTTGGACATTTGCTTTGATGTTGCCTGTGTGATCTGACAATGGCACACCATCAAAAATCATATCTGCAAAGAATAAAGGATAAAAGGAAAGGATTTCTTTTTTTCAATAAGACGCAGATGTTATATGATCTACAGCACGTTTACAAACACCAAATTTCAGAATCAAATTGTTATGATAGTGCAATAGTATGAATGAATAACTTACAACAATAGCATTTGAAAAATCTTGATGAGCGTCGTCTAATTTGACAGCCATTTTTGCAACTTTGTGGGAAAGAAATTTTTGCTGAATGGTCCAATTTGCATTTAACCAAATATTCTTTGGAATTTCACTCATACCGAATCCGAGTAGAAATGCACCAGTAACAAGTCCAAATGTGTTAGAACAAGCCATAGCAAAACCCATAATGCTACCAGTCCTGCAAATTATTAAGCATGGAGTTAGATATAGGGTAGGTTAGCTTGCAAAGATTTGAAAAATCTAGCGGTGTATAACATGGTTTAATGCATTCTGCAACCGCAATTGTGGCCACTATATAAAAGATTTTGAGGTCTTTGCAAATTGCAACAGCATTACAACTGCAATTTTGAAGAATAGAAAAAATCAAAAAGAAAGAGAAGCGGACCAAAATTTGTTAAGAGCTATTAGTAATATCAATCCAGAAAGTGCAACAGAACCAAGAGAGAGATAGAAAACAAGGTTTCCATGTAAGCTTGTTCTTAATCTTGCTTTGACAGTAAAGTCTCCAGCATCTTCATAACCCTGAAGAAGGGGAACCACAGCCCTGTTTAGAGAAATAGTTTAATACAAAACTATGAGTTTATGTTTTTCTATTAACCTAGTTTCCATAAATATTCTAAAAGATCACACCAAACATTACACAGAACTATTAAATTCAGAGAAATTCATCAAGGGGTACAAAGCATATCAGAGCGGTCTCAAGTTTTTGGAGATAAACGGTAGATTAGTCGTAGTTTAACCATGAAAAAACAATTAGAGGCCCTAATTAACAGCAGTTTAACCATGATAAACATTTTATGTGATCCTATGCGGTAGCCCGTCTTGCACGCCCTGAAAGACGGCTCTGCATATTATAATTCTAGGGTTGTATAAAAGGGAAGAAGAACCTTACCATGTAAGCAAGAAGGTACTCCAATACGATAAGCTCCATAAGAAGGAAATGACTCCATTGTAATTACTATTTAGCGTCTAATAATAAATGAAAGCACAAATGTGTGAATCAATCAAATAAAAGCAATAAGGTATCAAGTTTATGAGTAAATAAAGAAATACCGTCCATATGTCGGCCGGGACAAGGATGATGATGGAGAGGGAGCAGAACCAGGCATAAGCAACCGTGAAAAACACATATTTAGGAACATCAGGTCCAGAGAAATATCTCAATGTAAAAATCACCATGCCAATTGTCATTGGTAAAGAGAACATATAGAACACCCTCATTTTGATTAATGCTTTTATTAAGTGTTACACTTTCTTTTCGATTCTTATTATTAATAATATTCATTCATATATGCAATGTAATGCAATTTGTATACCCTTCTTAACATTACATAACATTAGAAGATAGAAACACAGAAAAGGGAAACCAGAGAAACTATGGTGATGTGAATGTCTGATAAACTGAGAGGTGAATTTTTAAGAACGGAGAACCGGTCAAAATGACCCTATTTTCACTCAAAACATTTTCTAATTATTGTCTTGCACAATTAATAAAAAATAGACAGACATTATGAAAATTTTAAAAATAATCCTATTTTTATACAATTATTGCTAGAGTTTGATGACATATTTTGTTCATGATGCATAACATATAGCGTCGTGCCGCTGATTCTCTTGAGCAAAATCCTTGCTTCATATAACTTCCTTTTACCAAAACTCTATCCTCATCTGAGTATTATCTTGTTATTAACCATTCTAGCCAATACCAATCCAAAAGCCAGTGCAGTACCAAACAAAGCATGCAATCTCACACAAAAGTACTTGGCCATGAAAATCTTGTTTTTGTCCTGCAACAACACAACACAATACAACCTAGTTTTAATATAAAAAACTCTAGAGAAGAATGTAGTGTTACAAAGACTCGACAACATTCTTTTACTTGCCTTGTGATTGTCTTGGACAAATCTAACTACCAGGTTTCCGACCGGTAATGTCAATGCACAAAGGAACTAGTACAACAATATTCATAACGAAAAGATTAAATCATAAGTTCATGGCCCAAGATAGCAACTATACGTGCAAAGAACGAAAGAAAGCATAGAATTACTCACAATACAAGTGAGAGGAAGTGTTTTGCTTAGACCAAAAGCAACCAAAAGAGCATAGAGCATAAAGATTGCCACTTTCACTACCTCTGCACCTCTTTCAGTACCAAGTCTAACCAAAGGCGATAATTTTCCGACTTCTTTGTCTCCATCAACCTATATCATCCACAAAAAAGGTCACATGCTTGAAAGTACTGTCATAATTGGAATTAAGAAATAACAGTACCTGATGGAAATGACTGCAAAAAAGGATAAGAGATGTTGTGAAGCCAACAAGGATTGATGCTGAAAAAACTGTTCCACTCAGTGGGAAACGGTTCGTCACGCTACTAAAATCATTCAAAAACCACAATCAATCAAGCCATGAAAAATATATATTACTATAACTCTAGTCAGGTAACTGTGATAACCTTGCACTGCCTTGTACTAAATAAAAAGCAGTAGTGGCAAAAGGACCAAATGCTGCAAAACACAATGGCTCTCCCAGTCCCTGATAGCTTAACCGAAATGGCGGACACTAAAAAATCAACGCGTTGAATTGATAGTTAGCTTATGACTGAATAAGTTCCCTAAAATAACATGATTCCAATATCAGTAGTACTTTTTACCTGATATATGTAGCCACAAATAATTGCACAAGTAAGAAACAAGATTGAACGCACGTTTCCTGCCTCAACAGCGGCCCAAGTCAGGCCAACGAAGCCGAGAGCAAGGCATAAGTAAGCAACAACAAAGATTCCTGTACGGCTTTCCGAATTCAACATGAAGAATAAAACAAGCCAAGTTAGTTCTATTTTTATTTTTTTTATTTAAAACATGTGCAGAAGGAAAAGAAAATAGGCAAATACAAAATACCAAATACAAGTTTGAGAGAAACTAACCTTCCGACCAAGTTCACAACTGATTCCTTTTTGTTCTTGTCAACTCCAGTGTCAAAATCATAAACATCGTTGCTGCAGCAAACACATAAAAAAAACATCAGAATTACAATTAGTGATTCCAAAACGACAAGAGCAGCTAGCAAAGCAAGAAAATTGAAATGTACCTTAAGTTGAGCCAGGTAATAACAAGAACTGAAGAAGCCAAGAGAAGAAAATAGCATTTAGCTGAGAAGATTCCAGTCTGTAAATAAGCTGCTGCACTTCCTACCTATTTGTGGAAAATGATATTGCTTAAAATGACATGAATTCACAATGCAGTGAGAAAAAAAATGGTAAATTCGTGATGATTGAGATGCTGACAGTGAGAGGGACCAAAGCAACAGAGTAAATGGGCAACTTGATAGCCCTCCAAATCAATGTTTCCATTGAAATATCCTCCTGACCAACATCTTCAAAGCTAGAAGAAGAAGAGGACAATTCCGCTTCTCCTGCACAATACACATGTAAGTAGTAGTGTTGTCTTGTTTGAAGTTGAAATCTCCTATGTAAGACTTTTTGAATACTAGTACTACACTTTGGCCTTTTGGAAACTAAATGACACCTGAAAATGAAAGAACATGACATGTTAGATTATTTGTATAATTGTTTGCATATAGAAAGATAGAAAGAAAGGAAAAATTAAGAGAAGGAAAATGCCTATTGAAGTAGGTAAGTTGGTTGTTAAGGAAAAGAGAAGGAGGTGTGAGGTTACAGAACGTGGCAGCAGCCATTCAATCTTATGCTTTAAAACAACACAAGCTATTGAATTTCATTTCATGGTGATGAAGGTGGAAACAAGAAACAAAGAAAGTAAGCAAGTTTTTTGAAGTTATGAAAATGGAGATATGATGATATCCTCTCTCACAATAATCCTTCCATGTATGTATGTACCACTAGGATAATGACACCTAAGATTACTACAGTGATAGTGTCACCTATCATAGATCACGATAATTGTAACATTCTTAAACTTCATTTATTTAATATAAATTAATTATACATACATTTTTTTATATTTTATATTTTATTGAATTTTGAAAACACTTCTATCATATGAAAATACTTTTCTTTTTAAAGAAAACCATATAAAAAAAATTCTTACATTAGACACAGTTTATTTTTCAAAATTTGTGTTAGTTTTTATTTAATTAACAAAGAGAAAATTTGTCTTTCATTTTCTTAAATAATAAAAATGTCAAAATAATTATTTTTAGAGATGTTCAAATTCAAACTAATTTAAATAAAACTAATAAATCAATAAAAAAAATTGAAAACCACAAAAAAAAAGTAAATATTATTGAATTTATTTAAATGTCATTTTGTAAAAACTACTCGGTTCATATCAAATTTTGGTTTGATATTTCAAAAAGGATCGATTCAAATCGAATCGAACAGTTTGCATATATTTGTATACTAAGTTTTTATTATTATTAATATGATTATTTTGTTAATTTATTATTTGATGACACTTATTTTTTAAAATATTATTTATTAATTTAATTTAATCTATTTTTATTTTATTTTATTTATTTCAACCATAATCAACTATTTTTATTTTGTAATATTAATTTTTAATATATTAAATGTTATATATTATATCATATCTATTATTTATTAGTAACTTTTTTTATAATTTTAATAAAAAATATAATTTATAATTTGAATATCTAAAAATCGATTTAAATTAAACTGCATGACATTGGATTTCGATTTTTTTAATCAATCATATAAAATCTAATTGAACCACAAATAAATTTATCTTTGAATCAAATAAATTTTTATCTAAAAAAACCAATTCAAACTGCATCAGAACACCTTGAATCATTTTTTTAAATCTTTTCTTAAAGGTATCATACCTAACTTATGATTTAGAGAGGGGAACTATATCAAAATCTTCTTAGGAAGAACTAACTTAAAGAAAGGTAAACAAAATATATTCTTTCCGAAATCTGCCATATAAAAATAGGTATCGAAAGAAAATATAGTTTACACTGCGATTTTCGGCAACCCTGCGGTTTCTGGTGAGAGGCATAAATTTTCTGTGACCACTAATTTATTAGGGTTTGACAACAGAATCTTCATCTGAGATGGTTTAAAATCATGCTCTTCGGAGTAGGGACCAGATTGGGTTGATTTGTGTTGTCTTGTGGATCTAGGATGAATAAAGGGAGAGGTCAGACGAAGAAGAACAAGGTGACAACTCTGAGTGCTTTCACCCCGTTCACAGTTGAAATTTTTGAATAACGTACGAAGGGAGATAATAATGATATCGAAAATGGTCAGGGTGAGGAAAGCCGTGAGGAGGAGGTCATTGCACAAACCCTAATAAAGAATCCTTCTCTAGAAGCAGAAGAAAATGTTGGAACAAGCACAAAAGCTTGTATGTGAATCAATGGAGGTGATGGATAATTTTGGTGAAATTGGAGGATTGGGGAAGATGAAGTTTAGAGAGAATAGAGATTATTTGAGAGGGTAAAAAATTCATATGGCATTAACTCATTTAAAATGTTACAAAATGTATATATAGTGCCTACTAACACTAAACAAAGTAACAAATAAAAGCTAAACAAAACAGCCTAAAAACAGAAGTATTTTTCTGGTTTTCCCTACAACATTCTGGCAGCTTTTCAAATAGCTTCCAATCATAGTTACATTGCATTTGACTTATATAACATCCAACACACCACCTTAAGTCAAATTCTCGATGTTCTTCATCCCCAACTTCACCACGAGTCGCTTGAAAACATCGTTTGTAACTGATTTCATCAACAAGTCCGCGACCTGTTCTTCACTTTTGTAGTAGCTTAAACGTAACTGTCCAAAACTCACCAAATCACGCAAGTAATGGAACCTCATCTCAATGTGCTTGCTTCTCCCATGTGCTATGGGATTATTAGCAAGGTTGATAGCTAAAACGTTGTCCACCAACAACAAAACTCCCTCTCTCGCGCAGCTGTCCAGCTCACGCAACAGATTCACAAGCCACACAGCTTGGCATGCACACATCGAAGCTGCAATATACTCCGCCTCGCAAGAAGAGAGAGCAACCACAGGCTCCTTTCGAGAACACCAAGAGATTGGTGCACCGCCGAATATAAAGATATAACCCGCCGTTGATTTTCGACCGTCTTTATCTCCGCACCAATTAGAGTCGGCGTATCCAAGTAAATTGCAACTTCTGCCCGTGTCACTTACCGAAAACAAAATTCCACAGCCAAGAGTACCTTTCACATAACGAAGGATCCTCTTAACCGTTGTCAAGTGTGATACCTTTGGCTTTTCCATGAACCTACTAGCAATACCGACACTAAACGCCAAATCAGGCCGCATATTGCACAAGTAACGCAATGATCCAACCAATCGCCGGTATTGAGTTGGATCCACATCTTGCTCTTCCTCACTCTTGGATAGTTGTAACCGTGCCTCATATGGAGTTATGGCAACATTGCAATGCTCCATATCACACCTCTTCAAGATCTCCATTGCATACCTTCTTTGATGCATGAGCAGCCCCAACTTTGTCTTTTGGAACTCTATGCCTAAGAAGTATGTCATAGCACCAAGGTCACTCATTTCAAATTCCCTCATAAGCTCTTGCTTAAACTTTGAAATGTATGATTCACAACTTCCGGTAATCAACAAATCATACACATATAGATAAAGAATGATCACCCCTTCGCTAGCACCCGTTTTCACATACACCCCATACTCGGACACACATTTCTTGAAACCAATATTGTTAAGAAAACCATCTATGCGTTTGTTGCAAGCTCTTGGAGCTTGTTTCAAACCATAGAGTGCCTTCCTCAACTTGTAGAATCTTGCCTCTTGGTCTTGAACAACAAAACCTGGTGGTTGTCCCACATACACCTCTTCATTCAATGGACCATTCAAAAATGTCGATTTGACGTCCATTTGATATAACAGCCAACTGTTGGCATTTGCAATCACAACAACTAACTGGATGGTTTCATGCCTTGCAACTGGTGCGAATACCTCATTAAAATCAATGCCTTCCTTTTGTGAAAATCCCTTTGCCACTAATCGAGCCTTATGCTTGATTATCTTACCTTTCGAATTTGCTTTCACCTTGAAGACCCATTTCACACCAATTGCCTTTTTACCTTTTGGTAAATCGACCAACATCCAAGTATTGTTTTTCTCAATTGATTCCAGCTCATCCTTCATTGCACTCATCCATTTTGGATCGCTTAATGCCTCCTCCGTATTCATCGGTTCAGATTCGTCCATTAAAGCGAAATGGATGAGATCACCATCATGATTGATCTCGTTATCACGGAATACCTCACAATCTCGGAGTCTTTGAGGCATACCTCTCTGCCTCGTTGGTCATCTATTCGTTTCACCATCCTCCATTGCGAATGGTTGCTGTCTAGGATCATTAGTAGGCTGGATTTCCTCCCAGGAAATCGATTTCTGGGCCTGAATTTTGACTTCCAGCAGCACCAGGGGGCTCTGTCACGGGCTGAAAATCAATTACCTCATTTGGTAAATCGATTTCCTGTACGGAAACAGCAGAAATTTTGCTGTCAAATGTCCGGATTTCATCCACAATCACGTCCCGACTTACCACAATCCTCTTGCTACTCATATCAAACAATTTGTAGCCTCTGGTAGGATGATATCCAACAAGTAACAACTTCTCACCCTTATCATCAAGCTTCTTTCTAAGCTGTCCCAGAATGTGTCGAAACTCAACTGAACCGAAAACGCGCAAGTGACTCAAACTCGGTTTGAATCCGGGCCATACCTCTTCTGGAGTTATCTTTTCCAGCTTCTTTGTCGGACACCTATTCAACAAATAGGCAGTTGTAGATACCGCTTCACCCCAAAGCTCTTTCGGTAAATTTTTGCCTTTTAACATGGTTCGTACCATGTTCATGATTGTCCGATTTTTTCTCTCCGCAATGCCATTTTGTTGTGGAGTGTAGGGAGGCACCACCTCACGGATTATCCCCTCATCAGTGCAATATCTCATAAACTCACCGGATGTGAATTCACCACCACCGTCCGTTTTGAGAGTTTTGAGCTTTTTACCGCATTGGTGCTCAACCGTTGACTTAAACCGTTTGAACACTTCAAACACCTCATCCTTCCTCTTAATGAGGTAAATCCACAACTTCCTACTAAAATCATCAATAAACGTGACAAAGTATTGATTGCCACCGTAGGAATTGACTTGCATCGGTCCGCATACATCAGAATACACCACCTCAAGGTGATGCTTGGTCCTATGACCCGCATCCTTGCTGAAATTACTCTTGTGTTGCTTCCCGTGAACACACTCTTCACATATTTCAGTTGGAATATTAATCCTTGGAAGCCCGGACACCATACCATGTCTTTGTAACGCGTCGAGATCACGAAAGTTGAGATGACCGAGACAGTAGTTCCATAACCATTCCTCACGACTTGCAGTAGTAGCTAAACACCTATGCTCCATAACTTTCAACTCAATCTTGAAAGTTCTATTGGCAGCCATAGGAGCCTTAAGAATCAAAACTCCATTTTAGTCCAAAACGCGCAATACTTTGTTTTCCATGCGAATTGTGTAATTCCTTTCAAGTAATTAGCCAATGCTTAAAAGGTTACACTTAATTCCAGGAATGTACAAAACGTCCTTGATCAAGGAATGACCACCATCCCTCCTCATGATCAAGACATCACCGACACCGTCGGCCGCCAAAGTCGTATTATCCGCGAATCTCACTCTACTTCGCGTGGCTTGGTTGATCTTCACGAACCAATCTTTTCTACCCGTCATATGCATCGAATAACCAGAATCCAAGTACCACTCATCACTACCTTGGACTCCATCTCGAACCGTTACTAATGCATTTTTCTCCGAACGCATTTTCTGCAGTTTTTCTGCACTGCAGTAGTTGCTGTCCAACAACTTTCTACTGTTGTCCATGCCATTATTCTCCTCCGTAATCACCACAAGAAGTGTGCTATCACCATCCACTTCTTGCGTATAAACCTTCGCTTCATCCGCATCACTCTCCTTGCGCTTGAAACGACAATCTCTTGAGAAATGTCCAAGCTTTTGACAATTGTAACATCTCTTGGTACTTTTGTCGAGCGGCTTGTAGTTGCCTTGACTACCATCCTTGGAGGTTCCTTTTCCTCTTTGTCCTCTTGAATTTTATGGATCTTTTCCACCAAAATTCTGGAAATTCTTCTTATCTCTAGAAGACCATTTCCCTTTCGATCTCTTATTCTTCACATTGAAACGAGCTTGCAAAGCCACTTCCGCTTTTGCCTTTCGTTTCCTCTTTCATCCATCCTTTATTCATGAGCTTCCAATGAACTTTGTAGTTCATCCTTCGTCATGGTCTTGAGAGTTTGAGTTACCCTTATTTATTTGTTTTTTAGTTCTCTCCCCTAAAATCAATCTTACTCGAGACACTATGAAATGTTGTAGGAGATTTAGAAGAATTCAAACCACTATTACTTAAAGAAAAATGCTTATTAGTAAGATAACGTTAAAATGAAAAATGTAAGAATAAATCTCAACTATTTATTATTACTACTATTTCATGATCTCTATTAAAAAAGAAATTAGATTTAAAATCAAATAAAAATTCACTAGTAGTTATTAAAGAGTAATATATTTTTCTGGTCTAAATCCTGAAAAAAAAAATTTTGTTTTGTTTTAAATTACATGCCATTTTAAACAATTTTACATAAATTAAAAAATATAATTAATTTTACATACAAAAAGTTATAAGTTGTTTTAAAAATTATTTTTTATTGATCATATTAAAAAAATTATATAAAAAAAACAATTTGAGACAAACAAATAATAGATTTAATTAGATTTTTAATTTTTAAAATTGGTTTTTTAAATAATAATAATTGTTATAGCTAACTTAGAGGTGCGATTTCCAGGCAGTTAAGGTGAGATCCGACACGACGGTTAGGGGCCAAACTACATCTATTCAGATCCAAAGTTAGCTCTTGATGAGATATTTTCTCAAATGTTGGTTTAAAGTCCTAGTCGTATTTCTCAGAATATGGACCAAGATCGGAGGTATCTTGCTTAGGAGCATCAAATCGTTTTGAGTATGGGGAGGGGGAGGGGACGGTTGAAGAAGAAAAATGTGTTATATCCTTTGGTTTGTACTCTTGAACTGGAGAAAGGAACGAATAACAGTAGCACCTTGAGAAACACTAAAAGTAGTTCGTACGAGGAGTAAAATGAGGAAAATGGTGAAAAAGGGGCAACCCCCATTCCTGAGAAAACAACATCGGGACAATAAGGCAAGGCGAACAATGAAGAAGAACAACCTAAGAAGCTATGGGTGGATGTGATAAGTGGCAACAGAATGCCCTCGAATGGAATGACCATCGAATTCATAACTCCTAAATTAGTTGAAGGGGAAGTAGAAGTGGAAATAGATGAATCAGGGGTGAAATTATGAGAATCTGCGTTGATAATGTATGCCCTAGGACGTGACTTGAGCATGAACATGGTGAAACAATTCATGAGTAAGTTTTGGAAATTTGTGAAACTCCTTGATATGTTCTACCATGAGGAAAGCTATTTCTTGTTGAAATTTCACTTCTTCATTGAACGAGACATGGTGCTTATGAGAGGTCCCTTCACTATCCAAAGTGTGTTGATGGTCTTAAAGGAGTGGAGACCGGACTTTAACTTCAAGAGGGACATGCTGCAAACTATACCCATCTGGGTGAAACTCCCACAACTCCCTTTACATATGTGGGGGGGGGGGGGCGAAAAGTCTAGGGAGAATGGGGAGTACCATAAGGAAACCCCTGTTCACAGATGATTGCACTGCTATTAAGCTAAGGGTTTCTTATGCAAGGATTCTAGTGAAAGTTGATGTTACACAGAAGCTCAAGGAGTCAATAACCATCAAGGATAGTGAGGGAAGGAAACTCATTCAAATGGTGGAATATGAGTGGAAATCAAAGTATTGTGAAACATGTCAGAAAGTGGGACACAAGTGCTCCATTGAAAAACCAAAGTCAAGGAGGTCACATAAGTAGAGCAAGTTAGAGAAGTAGATCGCACCCCTAATGAGAAAGAGGATCAAGTAAGCACATCTCAAATTCAAGTATTTACAAGTTGAAAAAAATAAAGGTAAGTATGTTGTCAATGAAACTAGTAATGTGGTAGATTGTCTTAATGAATTTGAGACACTTAGGATTTGGAATGATCCAAGTCTTCAAAATGATACATCATAATCATTTCTTGGAATGTTAGAGGAATAAACAATGCTGGGAAGAGTAGTGAAGTGATATCTAGTCTCAATCCTGCATTAGCTATATTAGTGGAAACTAGAGTTAGCAGCATAAGGCTCAAGCCATTAGGAATAAAATGGGGACCAAGTGAAGATATCAGGATAACTACGAGAACCTTTCTAATGGTAGAATTTGGGTGTTATAGGATGAATCCAGGATTAAAGTGAAAAAATTAGCCAACTCTGACCAATTCATCCACTGTGAAATTGAATACAATAACGATTTGGAATGAAGGAATGATGTACTGTTATCTATGGTCTTAATACCTTGGATCAAAGAAAGAGACTATGGAGAGACATAGAAAGCCTTCAAAATAATGGGTCTTGGTTTATCATAGGAGATTTTAATAATGTCTGCAGTGCTCTGGACAAAATAGGAGAGAAACATGTTGTGGAAGGGGAGTATATTGATCTAACCAACATGACGGAGAACTTGGGCTTACATGAAAAGGATAATGAGGGGGACCACTTTACTTGGTTCAACAAACATGTGAATGGTGCTATCCACTCTAGGATAGATAGAGTGCTTGGTAATTTGTAATGGATTCAAAAGCACATGAGCACAACATTGAGAATGATGGAACCTGAGATATTAGACCATGCTTTATTATGTCTTGAGGGACAAGTTATGGACCAACCTAACAAATCTCACTTTATATTTTAGAATGCGGACATTAATATATAGGGGTTTCAAGAAGCAGTTAGAGATAGCTGGTCTCATCATGTGAATGGTAATGCCATGTACATCATGTGGAGGAAACTTCATAATCTTACAGCCACCATTAGGGACAAGAGCAGGACTATTAAAGGGATCAAAGAGCAAATTGAATCAGCTAGAAACAACCTGAAAGAGGCTCAGAACCATCTGTTACAAGACATGATGAATGAAGATCTTATAGAGAGAACCAAAATCCAAACATCAGAGGCTATCAAGTTAAATAACATAGAAGAACAATTAGTCAGCCAAAGAGCTAAGATTAACTGGTTTAGGCTTGGAGGTGGAAGCAATGCCTTCTTTCATGCTTCCTTGAAGAGTAAAAACCAAATGAACCAAATCAAGACTCTTACTACTATTGAGGGGACTATTCTGACTGGTCAACACAAAATTGAAGAGGAAGTGATGAGTTTTTATAGAGACCTGGTAGGTAAATCTACTCAAACTCTAAATAGCATTAATCTAGTTGATATGAGGAATGATCCTTAGCTTAATGATGAGTAGAGGCAGTCCCTCATAGAGCCAATCACTAAAAAAGAAGTGAAGACTTCCCTTAATGGTATAAATGATAATACAGCTCCAGGGATTGATGGATGCAGTGCTAAAATTTTCAAGGTCACCTAGAATATCATTAAGGAATACTTGCTTAGTGCACCCTTGTTACTCTCATTCCAAAGACCAACAATGCCAGCATGATTAAAGACTTTATACCTATCTCTTGTTGATTTACCCTTTATAAGATAATATCCAAGATCATGGCAGACATGTTGAGTAAGATTTTGGGGAGCATAATTGATGAAAGTCAAACAACTTTTATGCCAGGAAAGCATATTCAATATCACACTCCTTTGGACTTTGAGCTTATTAAGGGATATAACACAAAAGGGGACCTCCAAGATGTATGATCCAAATGGATCTTCAAAAAACAAATGACACTATAGATGGTGTGCCCTATAAGCTATTATGAAGGAAATGAGTTTCTCTGACAAATTCATAAGATATACTATGACTATTGTGACCACTTTGTCCTACAGGTATAAAGTTAATAGAGAGACTACTAGACTTCTCAAGGCCAAGAGGGGCCTTAGGCAAGGGGACCCTTTTCCCCCCTTGTTGTTCATCATTGTGATGGAGTATCTCCATAGAAGGTTGTAAAGACTCAAGATGAACCATAACTTCAACTTCCACTATAAATGTGAGAAACTGAACATTATTAATGCGTTCTTTGCAAGTGATCTCTTGCTCTTTGCTAGAGGAGACACAATGTCAGTTAAGTTGTTGATGCAGGATTTCAAAGAGCTATCCTCCTCAACAGGGTTGAATGTCAATCCCAATAAGTGCAAGGTGTATTTTGGGAATGTTGAGGACAACACCAAGCAGAGCATAAAGTTCTTGACTGGCTTTTCTGAAGGGCTCTTACCATTCATATACCTTGGTATCTCTCTAACTAGTAAGAGACTATCAAAGGGACATTATCTAATTCTGGTTGAGAAGATTACTAGCAGGATCAAGCATTGGAGTGCTAAACTCTTGAGCTTTGCTGGCAGGATGCAACTCGTTAATAGTGTCTTATTTGCCACTGTTAATTATTGGCTCAAATGTTTTCCTACCCCCAAGATTGTCATCAAGAAAGTGGAAGTTGGTTGTAGGTCTTTCCTTTGGTCTAACAATGACAAAATTACCAAGAAGTCCCCCATTTCCTAGAGCAAAGCTTGTCAGCCTAGAAACCAGGGAGGTCTCAATGTCATCTCAATCTCTGATTGGAATAAGGCTACCTTACCCAAGCTTCTAGGAACCTATGTGGCAAGGCTAATAATTTATGAATTAAATGGATCCATAACTATTACACCAAGCACCAAGACATCATAATTGTGCCCATCAAAGGTAGCTACTCATGGATCTTAAAAGGCATTCTTAATCAAAGGCAAATGGTGAGTCACCTTGCTGAATGAGAAGTCATGTTACAGCAGGATAAGTATTGCACTAGGAACATGTATTTTGATATAAAGAGTCAATATCCTAGAGTGGAGTGGAGGAAGTTGTTCTTAAGAAACCCTGTGATGCCTAGAGCTTTGAGCACATTCTGACTGGCCTCACACAAGAGACTTGCTACTAAAGGCAGACTATGTAAGATAGACTTGATAACTGAGGACAAGTGTTGCTTTTGTAATGTAAAAGAAACAATTCAACACCTTTTGTATGAGTGTGTGAAAACAAGGAAGATCTGGAATGACATCTTGGACTGACTGCAAATCACCCACAGAGCTCAAAACTGGGATGATGAGTTGGACTGGCTTATCTGTAACTGCAAAGGGAAGGGTTGGAGAGATTCAATCCTGAAGTATGCAGTGGCGGAAACAGTGTATACAGTGTGGCATCATAGGAATTTCATTTGCTTTGGGTCTACTAGTGATAGTAGTACAATTGTGTCTCATATTGCGGACTACATTGTACAGAGATATTGGATGAAGTCCCACCTTAAAAATCATGTTAGTATGCTTATAATGCCTTGAGAGCTTTGTTGTTTTTCTTTTTGTTTGTAGTTGGATCGTTTGATCGCTGTGCTTTGTATCGGTTTTTTGGCTTAGTAATATATTTGCTTTTTTTCAAACAAAAAAAATTTAACCTCTAAAATTATATCTCTCACAAAAACTAGTTTCATTATTCTAAAATCATTGTTTTAATTCCCTTTCATGTAATTATATTTAAATTTGGTGATGTATCATTTTTTAATAATATATGGCACATAGCTTAATGATATATCATGATTTAGTTGAGTTGATAAAAGTCATGATATCATTTACATAATTTAAAAAATAACAAACTAACAAATTGTGCAAAAGAGTATCATAATTAAGAAATATTTTCGTTCTAATTGACAAAAATCAATTTTTCTACTCTCAATCTTCTTTGAACTCAAAGAAAAATTAAAAGCTTGTCTAAATGAAATCTTAATCGTAGTTGTTCGTAGAACTCAATTTTTCTAAATGTTGTTGTGATTTCGTAATTGTATTTACAATGGCAACCAATGATGTATGTCGTTTTTCTTTGGATCTTCATCTTCATGGACGAAAGAGGATCAAAAGTTATGTGTTAGGAATATGTCTATTATTTTCTAATAACCCCTAGGAGTTATCTTGCTGGTAAAGACTTGAAACTTATGTGTGTTCTTCTCTAAATCTTAGATTCAATCCTCCAAGTTACAATAGCTTATGGAAAACTTTACCCTATATCCTATCATTTATTCCTCTGCCCCTATATTCTATTTGACCAAAATATCCTTAATCCTTATATAAATAAGTATAAATTTTTTCTAATTTAATTATTTAATTAGGAATTTAATACATAAATCTATCTTTAAACACTACTTAATTGATATGTTTAACAAACATGGCAAATATTATATACTTTTCATAAAAATATTATATAATTTTGTTTATAAAATTTTTAAACTTTAATTTTTTTTAAATTTTAATATTATAAAAAATGAAAAAAAAATTTCCATATTTTTATTAATTTCAATTTACTATCAAAAATATATATTTTTTCTTTTTTAATTCATATTTTATATTTTTAGTTTTTTTCAATGTCTTTTAATTTCAAATTACCTCATAGCTGATATCATGAGAAACTGTTCGTCAAAAATTATTCTATGTTTTTTATATCAGTTTCTTTGAACCGTAATGTGTGTTTAATGAGATTACACTAGAGTATATATATATTCGTAGGATGTATACAATAAAGCAATACAATAATTACAATTGATTTTAATTGATACACATTGATGATGATTGATTCTTAACACTCCTCTCAAGTTAGATCATTTATGCCTTATGAGCCAAGCTTAATGCAAATGTAATTCACTCGAGAATCCCTGAGAGACTTAGTGAACACATAAGTCAATTAGTCTTTAGATTTGACGAAATTTGTGGTTATTTCTCCCGAAAGTACCTTGTCTCTTACATAATGATAGTCTATTTCTACGTGTTTGGTTTGTTCATGGAAAACTAGATTGGATGCAATGTAGGGTACCACTTAATTATCACATATGAGCTTTGTGGCTTAAAGATCTCCCAACCTAAGCTAAAAGAGTAAAATTTTAAGCCATGTGAGCTACTTTGAGGTTGCTGCCATAATGCGGTATTCAACTTCAGTACTAGAAAGTGCAACTTTGTTTTGTTTTTTTCTTCTCCATGAGATTGTATTTTCTCTAATAAGAACACAATATCTAGAAGTGCATCTCGTATCTAACGGTTATTCGGCCCAGTCTGCATCTGAATAACAAATGATTTTAGCATCACCCTTATCTTCATATAATAGTCATATTCTTGGTGCAATATATATATATATATATATATATATATATATATATATATATATATATATATATATATATATATATATATATATATATATATATATATATATATATATATATATATATATATATATATATATATATATATATATATATATATATATATATATATATATATATATATGAGAATCCAAATCACTGCGTTCCAATGACTATCACAAGGAACGTTCATAAGTTGGCTCACAATGATCACTGCAAATGTAATATTCGGCCTGGTGACAGTAATATAATTAAGTCTACTCACAAAACGTCAATATCTTCCTGTGTTTTTCAATGGCTCTCCCTAACCCGGGAAAAACTTGACGTCGGGATCCATAAGAGTATAAATAGGAAGACAATCAAGCATATCAGTTTCACTTAGGATGTCTAATGCATATTTACATTGGTTAATTGCAATGCCTGATGAGGACTAAGAAACTTCAATGCCTAAAAGGTATATGAGTGGACCCAAATATTTTGTCTGGATATTTCAAAAAGAGAAGTTTTGAGTCGCTAGAAACCATAAAGAGAATGCTGAAACTGACAAATAAGTTTGGAGTTTCCACGAACAATAAAACTTGGAGGTTGATCCATATACACTTCCTCCTCCAACTCTCTGTGTAAAAATACATTTTTAATGTCCAACTAATGAAGCGAATAATGCTTAATGGAAACCATTGCAAGGAATAAGTGAACTGAACTGATCTCGATCATTGGGGAAAAAGTTTCACCATAATCGAGACCAAATATTTATGTGTATCCTTTAGCTACCAAACGAGCTTTGAAACGATCAATCTGACAATCTGATCCAACTTACACTGTATAAACCCATTGAAATCCAACTATAGTTTTGTCTGGAGGTAAAAAGACAATGTCTCGAGTGTTATTTGAATGCAAAGCAACCATTTATTTCATCATCACCTGACGCCAATTGGAATCAGTCATAACTTCACCTGCAAACTTAGGAATAAACACATAATCCGAAGTAGAAACAAAAGAAACTTAAGAAGTAGAGAGATGCTCATAATTTAAAACACAATCATATTTAGGATTAGGATGATGATACTGAATACCTTTTAGTAATGTTATTGGATGGTCAAATTTACGTGATGTAACTGGAGGAGAAGTTGGAGCAGGAAATGATAATGTTGATGGATCATTATTGACATGCCGCAGGCGTACGACAAATGCCAGAGTAGTAAAAAGTATCGAACCTCAGAGACGTACGGTGAAGTACCAATTTCTATCATATCGGTGTAAAGCTAGAGCGACAACATAATGGGTTTTGAAAATGGCTTAAGTGAAAAAGCACTTTTGGAAAAATAGTTTAAATGTGTAAAAATATATAAAACTAATAGGATCGGGTTATGACTCTTATATTAGACTTATCTACATGACCTAATAATTTCTATTACACGAATTCCGACTCAGTTTATAGAAAAATAGGTTAATATGGCAATACCTACTTTCGTCAGCCTATTGCTCTACCTCTAACGAACGGGACGCTCGCCAACTTTCGTTTGTGCAGAAACGTTTTTTAGTGGTCTTTACCTTTGCACAACTATTAAAAATGGAACCTTTCTCAATTCATCAAATTAGTTTCGTGACTTCGGACTTGACTGTTAAAAAACCTGCTTTTTGGTATTGCCTCTACCTTTTTAGCGTAAGTCAAATACCTAAAAACAACACTCCTACTTTCATAGGAAGTTTTGAATAAAACTCATACTCTTAAAATAAAGAGGGTGGAATTCTTGTAACCAGCTTAAATCATGCAAATAATAGTATGATATGGTTCATAACCCTTAGTTCCCAGTGGACTACTTACTCATGGTGAGGAATGATCCAATCAAAGCGATAACTACAAATAAAGACATAATCGATAAAAAATAAATAAAGCAATAATCGAGAACCTGAATAATGGAAAAGAAACACTTGAATTGAAAACTTGATCCAGATGCTCCAATAGAGACTTTTACAGAATGCGATGAAAAGAAGCATAAAACTAAAACTGAAATTAAAAAATGGATAAAAGCTCAAGACTACCTCTTAGTTTTTATATCAAATACTAAACATGGAAAAAATCTCTTAGTTTAATGCTAATTACAAATAATAAATATTAAATCCAAAAAATAAAAAGCATTAAAGTAAATGGAATCGGGCTAGAAAGGAAACAAATCGATAGAAAGTTCGCCTGCCTATTACAACTGTAATATCTATTACAGGTTCCCGTAGCAGGCCTCTAGTTTTTGTATTGGGCGCCTCTTGGATTTTGTAGCCCTTAACTTTAGCTTTCATTTGCCGCTGGTCTCATGTCATTCTGAGTTGCAATGCTTTAGATATGGTCAAA